AAAAAAAAAGGGTATATGATTAAATTACTAAATGTTGAGGATTTAAACTAAATAAAGATTTTAAAAAGTTGTTATACCTAAACGAATGGAAAAAATATACATGTAAAAAAAAATTTATGCAAAATATAAGGTCCATAAAGAAAAATAATTCTAAAAAGTCTAATATTTTTCTAACTTTACCCATAAAAAGGATTAAGTTTTCATTTTGGTGTGTAATATATTTTTATATATTAGCATATTATCTATTCCAAATAACTTCTTCCATCCATCATATCGGCTTCAGAACGAGCTTTACGCTTTCTATAAGCTCGAACTGCTAGTACTGTTGCTGCTGTGTATAAAAATGCAGATCCAAGAACTGCTCCCATAACTAATATTGTGTTTTGTGATGTTCCTGCTGGTACAGTCTTTTCATCCTTTTTTTTATCACTATCATCATTAACCGCTACAGCGTCTACTAAGCTAGATATTTGAGAGTTTTGATAAAAACTGCTACTCTTATCGTTTACAATAGTTGATAAATCATCAACAGAATCCGTGGGAATTGCAAAATTGACCTTAACACCACCATTGTCACAACGTTCTATGCTCAGAATTTTTACATCATCAGAAGAGATTCCAAGTGAATCTGCGACAGAATTTTTAATTTGAATTTCTATGGCAGCGGGAATGTTTGTATCTTTGACAACCGATTCCCATGGAAGAGCTGGTGACAATGTCAGGGATAGTTTAGAAAAATCTTCTATAAGATTAAATAAAATTGTCAGTATTTTATAAATATTTTTATAAAAATGTTTATTGATCGAAAACTTACGTGGAACGTCTGAAGATGAATCTGAGGTTAAAATCTTAGAGGGATAATCAGTGGACATTGGACGGTCAGCTGTCTTGGTGTTTGTTTCCAAAGGCAATGTAACACTTGCAGTCGGATTAAAATGACCCTTTGTGGTAGGTGTTACACTACTCGTAGGATTCGCGGGATCATTTTTCACAGCAGCATTAGGTGAAGATGTGGAACTTGGTTGTTGGATAGATGGAGGAGTTGTGGAACTTGGATGGGAAACAATGTTAGGTTGATTTGCTGTATGACTTGGTTGACTAATTGATAAATCTCCAGTGGAACTTGGTTGATTT